CGGTTGTCGCCGGCTTCTTGTCGCCCCAGATCGTGCGCGTGCCCGCGCCGTGGAGGAGAGCCAATCACGACGGAGGGCGCTTCGCAAAAGGCTTTTCGTCCAAAATCCTCCTATCGGAGGACATGCCTCCTCGGTCCATCCTTGGCGACTTTCGTCGGCCGCGCCCCGCTCGCACAGTGTCAGCACGGGCTTCCTAGTCCCTTGCATCAAAAGGGGAAAAACCAGTCGGACCGGACAATCGGCATTTACTAAACGGCCCTGGGCGTTTATGCTGAACAGCCCTGCCCTGTTTGATTCCTTCCCTGGGTGCGTTTACTAAACGGGCTCGCTTGTCGGGGTGGTTATGATGTGTTTTTCGCCCCCTACAAAGTGTCAGCATGGCCTTCCGAGGCCCTCGCATCCTCACCGTGCATCCTTGTGATGCGGACCGACGGTGCTGGAAGAGCTGCACCGCTTTCCCTGGAGGCCGGCTCTTCGCCCGGAGCCGCGGTTCGGACGGCCACCCTTCCCTTTGACCCAAACATAGCCATCAAATGCTCAAACAACAGAACCCTGACTATTTTTTGCCTATTTTTGAATATTCTCCTGTAGAGGGACACGCTCGACTTAGTGCTGACACTTTGCGAGCGGGGCGCGGCCAGCGAAAGTCGCCAAGGATGAGCCTTGGAAAGGTTGCCCATCCTTACGCTATGCTTAGGTCGGGCATGTCCGCCTACAGGCTGATTTTGGACAAAAAATAAAAAGTACCCTCCAAAAGCCCCAACATACTGCAAAATACAATCAAGTCCCCCCCCAAAAAAATGTTTGAGTATTCCTCCTGTAGAGGGACAGGCCCGACTTAACGCTATGCGGGCTGACTGTGCTGAAAGTCCAGGGCCGCGCACGTCTGGGGTCGACGACGACGACGACAACGACGACGACGACGACGCCGGCCCTCGGCCAACGGCCGACACGGCGGCGGAGACGACGGCGACGACGGACCCACAAACAGAGCTCATTTCGATGCCTCCGATTCGATTCGATTCGATTTCGACGGGTTCCGATGCCGATTCGATTCGGCTTCTTATTTGGGGTTGGATTCCAATCTCTCAAGGAGGCATCACGACTCTGCCGATTTCTGCCGATCCGACTCCTCCCGACCTTGCTGCCGATTCCCGCCGATTCGATTCATGTCGATCGCCGGTCCGACTTATCGATTCGATTTTGAGCTCTCCTGCCCATGCATCCGCCGACATGGTTTGTCCAGTACACGCCCCTTCGCCAGCAGGCCCCTTCTTGGATGGCGCCGCGGGGCCCGAAAGCGAGGCCCAGATGCCGCAATCTTCAAAACATCATCGTCGGCGGCGAGCGGGGGGGGAAGTGAAAAGGAGAAGGCCTTCTCAGAAGGCGGCGGGACTTCTCAGAAGCCCTCGCGCCTTCTGAGAAGGTTTCTGTGTCTTCGGGGAAGGGTCAGACAACTTTTCAGAAGGCCCGAGGGCTTCTGAAGGCCTTCTCCTCCTCACTTCCCCCCTCTCGCTCGCCGCTGAGATTGCGCAAACGCGCGCGCCGTCAGAGATCCGGGGACGGCGACGACCGCGGCGGCGACGGCGGCGGCGGCGACCGACCACGGCGATGGCCGTGACGACGACGAGCCGAGCCTCGTCGTCGCGAGACTCACGCGTGACCACGCGAGCCAGGGTTTGCGTTAACTCCTGTGCAAGCTTTAGGTCGGGCATGCCCTCCCACAGGCGACGTCTGGAAGGGAAATAACAAGCAATCAAAACGCCAAATAGAGTCCAAAGACCACGAAGAATCGGCACCAAACTTTTCTTTACCTATTCTTGGATACTCCGTCTGCGGAGGGGCATGCCCGACTTAGTGCCAGCTGTTCCTTCCCTGCCCCACATCGGCCACAGTCATCGGCCGCACGCAAGAGTGACCCTGGGTACGAGTGACCTTTGGTGCGCGGCCTTTGGGGGGCCGCGTGAGGACCAAACCTGGGCGCGCAAGCCGTTGCTCCTGCTCCGTTTTCAGCCATCCGGGGACCCGCACCAGAGGTCACTCCAGCGAAAGGTCACAATTGCGTCTAGCCGAAGTCGTGGTGTGAGGTCCGCCCCAAAGACCCCTCCCGGGCGAGGCCACGAGCACGCCCCCGAGGGCCCCAAGCAGGGACAAAAGCATCCGAGCGCCTCGATCCCAGACCACACACTCCAAATCCCTTCTTAATCGACCCCCCCTAAAAAACAGGACCCCCTCAAAAATGCGGCCCAATATTCCGGACCCCTCGCTTCGGCGGACGCCTGAAAGAGTTCCAATCCAAAGAAAGCGCCCCAATTACGCTACCGAGGAACCCCACATACTTAACTTAAATCTTGTGTGTTTGCTTAAGTTTATAATATATGCGCAATTCTGCGTTCTCAGCCCTCGTCGCGAATGTTCCCCTATGTGTCATCCAACGCCATATTGCTTGAACGTCCTCCCCTTTCCTAGCCTTCTATCCTCCGTCGAGGACAGATTCGAGCCAGCCAGCGGCCGCGGTGAGGGACCACCCCCTGCGCACCCTCGATGGTGTCGAGAAAGTGCCACGCCTGCTATGCCCTGGACGACCGTCGTGCGTAGCGGCCGCGGTGAGGGACCACCCCCTGCGCAGCCTCTATGGTGTCGAGAAAATGCCGCGCCTGCTATGCCCTGGACGACCGTCGTGCATAGCAGCCGCGGTGAGGGACCACCCCCTGCGCACCCTCTATGACGTCGAGAAAGTGCCACGCCTGCTATTCCCTGGACGACCGTCGTGCATAGCGGCCGCGCTGAGGGACCACCCTCTGCGCACCTCCTGTGGTGCCGAGAAAGTGCCACTCCTGACACGATCTGCGAGCGTGTCACGGATAGAGGCCCCGCTGAGGGACCACCCTCTGCGCACCCCCTGTGGTGTCGAGAAAGTGCCACTCCTGCTAAGATCTGCGAGCGTGTCAAGGATAGAGGCCGCGCTGAGGGACCACCCTCTGCGCACCCCCTGTGGTGTCGAGCAAATGCCACTCCTGCCACGATCTGCGAGCGTGTCACGGATAGAGGCCGCGCTGAGGGACCACCACCCTCTGCGCACCCCCTGTGGTGTCGAGAAAGTGCCACTCCTGCCACGATCTGCGAGCGTGTCACGGATAGAGGCCGCGCTGAGGGACACCACCCTCTGCGCACCCCCTGTGGCGTCGAGAAAGTGCCACGCCTGCCACGCCCTGCGAGCGTGTCACGGATAGAGGCCGCGCTGAGAGACCACCCTCTGCGCACCCCCATGTGGTGTCGAGAAAGTGCCACTCCTGACACGATCTGCGAGCGTGTCACGGATAGAGGCCGCACTGAGGGACCACCCTCTGCGCACCCCCATGTGGTGTCGAGAATGTGCCGCGCCTGCCACGCCCTGCGAGCGTGTCACGGATAGAGGCCCCGCTGAGGGACCACCCTCTGCGCCCCCCCAGTGGTGTCGAGAAAGTGCCGCGCCTGCCACGCTCTGCGAGCGTGTCACGGATAGAGGCCGCACTGAGGGACCACCCTCTGCGCACCCCCATGTGATGTCGAGAATGTGCCGCGCCTGCCACGCCCTGCGAGCGTGTCACGGATAGAGGCCCCGCTGAGGGACCACCCTCTGCGCCCCCCCAGTGGTGTCGAGAAAGTGCCGCGCCTGCCACGCCCTGCGAGCGTGTCACGGATAGCGGCCGCGCTCAGGGGCCACCCCCTGCGCACCCCCTGTGGTGTCGAGAAAGTGCCACGCCTGCTGTGCCTGGACGACTGTCGTGCATAGCGGCCGCGGTGAGAGACCACCCCCTGCGCACCCCCTATGGTGTCGAGGAAGTGCCACGCCTGCCACGCCCTGCGAGCGTGTCACGGATAGAGGCCCCGCTGAGGGACCACCCTTTGCGCCCCCCAGCGGTGTCGAGAAAGTGCCGCGCCTGCCACGCCCTGCGAGCGTGTCACGGATAGAGGCCCCGCTGAGGGACCACCCTCTGCGCACCCCCTATGGTGTCGAGGAAGTGCCACGCCTGCTCGCCTGCCGCATGGCTTGCCGTGTGTATGTGTATGATGCGTGTGCGGCCATATCGGGACATATCTCACGTGTTGCCCAGTATGTCGTGCAGACGTCTTGGGTGTATGATGCAGTGAACATGCGTCTTGTATGTGCGAATGTGTGCATGCGTGCGGCTGTGTGCGAGTGTGTGGGTGAGGAGGCGGGAGGTGTGTGAGACGCGGGTGCGGCGCGGCAGGGAAGAAAACCAGAACCCCACGACGAAGCATGTGGTGAATAAACCGGACACCCCCAGTTACAAAACAGGGTGCCAAAAACCAGACCCGGGGGACGATACATGAGGGATTTGGAATATCGTACAGATGACGGCGCCGACGACGTTGAGGACGACGTCGACCGCGACAGCGACGACCGCGACAGCGGGGCAACACCCCTGCAGAGGCGCAGACTCCCGTGGGCCCGCGCGGAGTCTTGGCACCGGCGCCGGGCCACCCGCTGGAGGCGACGCCAAGGGGCCCCAGCGCGCCGCTCCGAGAGGCGGGCCGCGGAGCACAGCGAGTCTGGATCTCCATGCAGCTCGGAGGAAGAGCACGGCCCACCGAGCCCCCATCCGTGGGGGGGGCCGACCCCCGGGCGGTGGCGCGCCCGAGCGTCGCCCGAATGCGAGATGACGCTCCGGCGCGCCGTCGCCCAGAGGCTGGCCCCCACCGATGGGCTCTCGGTGGCGGTGGTCCGTGCTCCCTCTCGGAGGGCAGGGTCGTCGACGGCCGAGGTCGGGAGGTCCGAAGCCAGGAGGTCCCAAACTCTCTCGAGAGGGGGGGTCTTTCTGCAGATGCATCGAGCCCGACCATCTCTAAGATGGTCCTAACCTCTCGAGAGAGGGGGTCTTCCTGCAGATGCATCGAGCCCAACCATCTCTAAGATGGATGACCCCTGACTCTGCAACGGGGACATGGGTGAGGCTAGGTCTTCCTTGTGTTATCAGGGCTACGGGCTCTTTTATTCTCGATGAGGGGCGTCGACAGCCAGGCGGCCAAGGCGGCCCCGGGCAACGACGACGAAGTCGACGCCGACAACGTCGAGGCCGACGCCGACGCCGACGACGACGACGCCGCCGACGGAGCCATGCGCGCTTTCCGCGTGGGCGCGCTCGCCGGCAGGGCGCCCGCGGGGGGCGCGGGGGGCAGGCACCGCTCCGCGGGTATCAGGTTCGCGGCCAGCACGTGGCGCGTCGCCTCCCGCCGTGGGGGGGGCAACGATCGGCTTGAGTCGGGCGCGTCCCCCTACAGGAGGAAGATTCAAACATAGCCAAAAAAAAGGGAACGATGTTTGAGTACTCGTCTGCTCATGCTTTGACTACTTTTACTTTTCCCCCCACATCCGCCTGTATGGGGGACACGCCCGCCTTAACGATAGGGGGGGGGAAGAGGCATCGGGGGGGGGAAGGGGGGACAGCGGCACGGAGTCGGCGGCACCCTGCCGACGGATCGGCGATCGGCCCCCGACGTGGTGACTCCGCACGCCCCCTGGGCACGCCGGGGCCGTCGGGCCTCTTCTCGGCGAGCAGTGGGCGACTTGGGGGGCCGTCCCCCCCCTATCGCTGCCCCTTGCCCATGGGGCCCGAAGCCGAGGCGCGGGCACGTCGACGACGATGTCGCCTTCGTCGTCGTCGTCGTCGTCGTCGTCGTCGTCGTCGTCGTCGTCGTGGTCGTCGTCGTCGTCGTGGTCGCCGTCTTGACCGTCGTCGGCCTCCGCCGTCGACGTCGACTGGGCCGCCGACGTCGTCGACATGTCCTCGCCACTGTCGTCCGTCGCCCTCGGCGTCGCCTCCCGCGCCGCGCCGCACGGGAGCGCCACCACGTCGTCGTCGTCCAGCTCCAGCATCAACACCGACGCGGAATCGGCGCCTAGGGGGAACCAATGGAATCGTGGATAACGATCTAGAATCACATCGGACAGGGACGATCAGACTACAATGAAGCTTGTTTCTCGTCTGGGGCGCTGGCTGCGGCCCGGGGGCCTCGACGCCGACGACGACGAATCAGAGTACAGTGCTGGCGCGACCGCAAGAAACCCTCGCAAGATACCCAACCCTGAAGACACGCGCGCGAAGTGCACCTCAGGGGAACTCCAGAGAACCCTGAACGCAGCAGCTTCTCCGACGGCTGCGGGAAGCCACCGCGCAGCTCGCGGAGCGAAGAGACCCAGGATGCCCTGAACTGCTCCCACTGAAACGCATATGGTTTTTCGATGCGCGCTCACACTAGATGTCGCATCCTCCACTTCCCGGTGGTCGCTGCGATCCCCCCCCCGGGCATGTCTGAATCACCCGGTCACACTGCGGAGCCGTCGCACAGGCTCGCCGCCCCTCTGGGTGGCTCAGCTACGCACAGACGCACGAGGAGCTCCCCAACGGGGATCCTGTGAAAGGACCCAAGGACCATCGAGCCTTCTGCGGCAACTCATGGGAGCCTCCCATACCATCGTGCTGGCTCGTGCAAATCGGCGCTGCTCGACGCTAAATAAATGCTACATCGACGCGAATCGACGCTGGCCGACGCTAAATCGGCGCCATCTCATCGACTCCCAGACGCTAATCGACACTAGTCGACGGAATTACGAGGGCATGCCAGCCCCCAGTGTCTTGCTACCGAACGAGCCCCGCTCCGCATCCCCAGGACGACCCGCTTCCATCAAACTCAACTCTCGCACGTCCGCGGACGGGTTGTCCGCCTGCGCCCGTGCCCCCTCCACGCAACTGGGGGCGGCGCCTGTGGTGGGCAGGCTCAGGTGCTCGTTCTGAAGACCTTCCTCGAGCCACTCGCTCCACGCGTGCGTCGATGCTGCGTCGAACGTCCGTCAACTTGAGGCGGCCTCGAACCGAGCTGGAATCGAAATAGCGTCGAACTGGAACCGAACTCAGCCGTCAGGTGGACCCCAGACAAGTCAAAACGAACATCTAAGAAGAGAGAACGGCGACAACGGTGTGGTGTTCGTGAAAAAGAACTTGAGCAGGGACCGACCGTCCAGGCATTCCTGTAGGCCTACAACGAACTGTTATTAGAACCCCAAAATGTTCTGAGGACAAAAACAATGTTCTTCGAACATATTCCCGATGTGTTAAGGCAGTCCCAAGAACATTGTGGAAACCACATAAGGTTCTTAGAACATTGATTGGTAGGCCTATAGGCACGCCAGGACGCTTCGCCACTGCTGGACGGACATCTGAGGAGAGGACCGTCTAAGAACACCTGCTGTGATGTTCGTTTGGTTCCCCGCAGCGCCGTCGACGAGCTCCGCCAGGTGAGCGAGGTTGCGCACGGCCTGGCCGTTACAGCGCAGGAGGCGGCGGTTCATCATGTGCGTGAGGCCGGCGGTGAGCCGCGATGCGAGCACGCAGGAGAGAACCACCACCTCCAGGGAGGAGGAGGAGGAGGAGGAGGAGGAGGAAAAGAAAGAGGAGGAAGAGGAGGAGGAGAAGGAGGTGAAGAGGGAGGAGAGGGAAGGGGAGGAGGGGAAGGAGGGGGAGGAGGATGGGGAGGATTGAGGAGTCTGGTTCCACAAAACTGGAATCCATGCATGCTGACCGCGTATCGTCATCATCATCTGACGTCGTCGACGTTGTTGCCTACATCGTCATCATCAAAGTCATCATCATCATCAGCATCATCACCACCATCATCATCATCATCATCATCACCATCACCATCACCATCACCATCACCATCACCATCACCATCACCATCACCATCATCATCATCATCATCATCATCATCATCATCATCATCATCATCATCATGAGCATCATCATCATCATCATCATCATCATCATCATCATCATCATCATCATCATCGCTGCGCCCATCCAAATCATCACCGTGACCATCACCGACTTCGCCATGATCATCGCATGTTTCATCACCCGCAGCAGCAGCAAGACAACCATCATGGCCATCACCATTACCTTCACCATTACAATTATCACGTCATCCCCGCCCCTCAGGTTAAACTCACACTAGATGCCGATCACCTTGCGTCCCGGGTGTTGCGGCGCCTCCATGCCATCCAGAGGGAGGTGCTTTTCACTTCCGACCGCAAGGCCGCCCGAGCCGGCCTGCCCGTGAGACGGCAGGGGAATAATTGCTCCGTCGAAGCTCGTTGTGCTTGTCTCCGTGCTTGTGCGTACGATCCCAAGGTTAAACCCTCGGTGATTTGGTGTACCCGTTGCGCACGGTCTTTTTCCAGGAGAGGCTTGCTCGCAGAGTTCTGGCCTTGTGGTTGCAGCCTCGTGGAGACTCTGCTTCTTTCACGCGCCTCTTTCACGACGTCCGCTATCCGAATAGGGTGGACCCCCCCCCCTTGGCTGTCGGGGGCGTTGTGGGGCATCCGAGGGCTGCTGACTGCCATCCGTCCCACACGTTGCAGGTCGTCAGAGGCATCTTGTTCTGTACTTCTTGTGGTGGCCTATGTGCTGAACACGCCCGCAAGCGCTTGGTACAGTGCAAACCACAACAACATGTGGCAAAGATGTCATATCCCGTATGCGTCGCGGTTTGCCTCCCAAAACTGGTATAACATTTCCTGAACTTTCATGCGGCGTGCCCGCGTGCGCACTGTGCGTTCCGGCATGGCCCTGCTGGTACGCGCTGTGCACCGACTGTTGCCGCTGGCTCTTCCTGTCCTGAAGGTGATTGATTTGCGGCCAGGCTTGCACCTGCAGTGCGCAACATGCATAAAATAACTCATCCTCCTCACCCACATCCACATCCTCATTCTCATCGGCAACAAGGGAGGAGCGTAAGATCTCCCTGCTGCGGGCCCATCGCGCACCAGAGGTGTAGGTGGGGGGGTGGGCAGGGTGGAAAGCGAACGGCCCGCGAGGCGCCCCAGGCAGGCCAAGGCAGACAACTGCCTGTCCCCGCATACATATCACACGCAGAGGCCTTCTTTCCCCATTCAGGCCCAGTCGTGGCCTGCTGCTCGGATTCGCCCCCGACAGGCTTATCCTGAGCCTTATCCTTATTCTTCCTCGTATCCATGCCCTCCTCAGCAGCATCTGCATCAGCAAACACACCCTCATCAGTATCATCAGCAGCAGTATCAGCATCAACATCTGTATCACCATCATCACCATCACCATCATCAACATAATCGTTACCATCTCCAACATCATCATCAGCACACGCATCGTCATCATCATCAGCAGCATCACCGCCATCATCATCAGCATGAACATCAGCAACATCATCACTTCCTTCTCCATCTAAGCAACTTCTCCCTGTCGCACCCCGAAGCTAAGCACGTTTATAGGGCGGGCTGGGCGTTTCGCCTGCGACTCCCTCACTACTCACGACTCTAAAGCTTAAACGTTGACGACCGTTTCACAGATTGAGGGCGGGTCGTTTTCACAATGCGGCTCTCACATTAGCGCCGCGCACATTCGATTTCAAACGGTGCAAGAGCTTCACGGATTGATGGCGAATCGTTTTCAAAATGGGGCTCTCGCCCTTAGCGCCGCGCACATTATTTTGAACATGTGCAAGAATGTCACGGATTGAGGGCGGCTCCTGTTCAACATGTGGCTCTCCCCGTAGCGCTGCGCACATTCAATTTTTAACTTGTGTAAGAGTTTCAAGGGCTGAGGGCGGCTCCCTTTCAAAATGTGGCTTTCGCCTAAGCGCCGCGCACATTCGTCGTTTAACGTTGCAAGATATTCACGGGTTCCCAGGATCAGCGTACCAGAAATGGCGCGTTGGAAGGATTCAGGGCTACGAGAGAGCAATAGTTCCTAGTTCCTTCGATTCGCGGTGGTCTCAGGAATGGCGTTCTGGCACGACCCAGGATCGTCAGGAAGCAACAGCGAGGTTGATCCGTGCCGTTGGAATACCCAAAACGATGTTTTGGCATGCTTCAGGGTCTTCAAACGGTTGCCGTTCAAAGAAGCAGTTTCTGTGGAAATGAACCCTTATAGGGGCCTATGAAGAGGGAGCTTGGAGGGAGGGTTTATTCCAACATCGTTGATGACTCTTGGGTTTACACTGGCCATCGTCCTCCTCATCCTTGTTATCCTGCTTGTCAGCATCCTCATCATCGTCATCATCATCAACATCATCAACATCATCATCACCATCATCATCATCATCACCACCACCACCATCACCACCACCACCACCACCACCACCACCACCACCACCACCACCACCACCACCACCACCATCATCATCATCATCATCATCATCATCATCATCATCATCATCATCATCATCATCATCTCATCATCATCATCATCTCATCATCATCATCAGCATCAGCATCATCATCAACATCATCATCATCATCATCATCATCATCATCATCATCATCATAATCATCATCATCATCAGCATCATCATCATCATCATCATCATCATCATCATCATCATCATCATCATCATCATCATCATCTTCATCATCATCATCATCATCATCAGCATCAGCATCATCATCATCATCTTCGTCATCATCATCACCTTCGTCATCATCACTATCGTCATCGTCATCGTCCTCGTCGTTGACGTTGACGTCATCGTAACCAGCACCGTCATCGAACGCGTCATCGCCATGGTCAACATTGTCAAAACCAGCATCGGCTACTCCACCCACGTCCGACGACGTTGCACTTGCACCGTGGCGTGGGCCCCGTGCAATTGCGACCCCCATCCCCTGTGGCTGGCTCTCCCTGACGAGCCGTTTCTTGACGGCCTCTCCGGGCCCAGGCATGCCCCCCCCCCAAAGACAGCGCTGGCGAGGGAGGGGCCGTAACGCGATCTTTCTGCGTCGCCCAGATCTGCGGAAAATCAGTCGACGCGCCAAACGAGCTCCCGTCTCCAAGAGAGGAGAAACAGCCCAGGCGATAGGGGTAAATCACGTTCGCGCTGTCGCCGCGCCCTCTGTCCTGAACGCGCCTGAGTAGACGAAGACGGCACCAGGGCAAACCCACGGTGAGCTCCGCGTCCGAGCCTGAATTTGTAGCTGCGGCGCCCTCCCCACGACGGAAGGCCGCGAAGCGGAGCAAGGGGCGCGACACGGGGGGCCGAGCGGGTCTGTGCTCGAGCCGGCGCGGGGCCGAGTGGATGGAGTGCGCAGTCCGTGTCAAGGCCAAAAGCTGCGAGAGACATCATCGGGAGGCAACTCCTGGGAGGCCTTCGACAGAAGGGTATGTGGAGGGCTACGAAGCGTGGTGAAGGGGCCATTGAATGGCCCCACCCACGCTTCGTAGGGGCCATTGATGGCCAATCATTCAGCCATTCAATGGCCGCCATTGAAGGGGCCATTGAATGGCTGAATGATTCAGCCATCAAGCCCAAGATTTAGCCCGATTGCAGCGGGAGCGAACCGAACTGCGCGGGCTTCGGCCGAATCAGGCTGGTTTCGGCAACGGATGTGGGATCTGCCGGCGCCGATGCTGAGGCCAGCCGTGAATCCTGCACGAAACTGCGCCCTATCACAGAGGGAGGCCGACCAACCTCGAGACCCGCGGGCGGGAGTCGAGAGGAGAGGAGACTGGTGGCGTGCGCGTGCGGCCGCTGCGGCTCGCCTCCCGCCGCCCCTTCTCCGGCCTCTCTGCACCCGGGTGCTGCTCCGGTCCTCCGCCCCCCCGGCAGCTCCCGAGAGCTCGGGCCTCGTGCTCCTCCTCCCCCTCCTCCTCCTCCTCTTCCTCCTCCTCCTCCTCCTCCCCCTCCTCCCCCTCCTCCTCCCTCCTCCCTCCTCCCCTCCCCTCCTCCCCCTCCTCCTCCTCCTCCTCCTCCTCCTCCTCCTCCTCCTCCTCCTCCTCCTCCTCCTCCTTGCCTCTGGACTGCCTCGCCGAGACGCCGCCGTTCCATCCCGAGTCCTTCTCGCGGCCCCTGCGAGGGCCCCCGAGGCCTTCCAAAGATGCCAGCAGCCTCCCGCCGTCCGTGCTGTCGCGACGCGAGGACGTCTGGCTCCGTGGGTCCACGCGTCCAGGGCTCTGGGGCGCGCCCTGACCAGACTTCCGAGGGCGGATGCAGCCGCGGCAGCGAGGAAGCCCCCAAGACGCCCCGGAGAAGGCGACAGACTGGCAACACCTCCGAACCTCGATGCCGAGGGCCGGGGGTCCTGGACCCCCCCTGACAACCTACGGTCGGGCCGCCGAAACTACGGGACGGGAAAAGAAGCAACGACGCCCCTCTTTGGGCCCCAGGAGCGCCAGCGTGCGCGAGGATGGCTCGATGCGCCTGGACTGCGCCAGGGGCCCAAAGCCACCCCCACCCGACCGGAAGCCCCCACACTTCGGGCTGGAGGGTTTGGACGCCCGAAATGGGTACCGACAAAAATGGGTACCATGCCCAACAGCAAATGTTGCCCCAAACCAACAGCGGCCGCTGTTGGGCAGGCGGCCTCCTGTCTCGAATGGACACAGGCCATGGCGGCGTGGACAGCGAGCCCTGTCCAAAATGAACAAGATCCGCTGTTGGGCATTCTGCCCATTCTTTCAGTACCCATTTCGTGCGTGCAGAGAGGGGGGGGGGGGGCGCACGGGCTCCACCCGTGCGCTCCCGGTGCTCTTGGATGCTTCTTCCCACTGGGCACGGAGGGCCACCCGGGGGCCTGCGGGGGCTGGGGTCGGGCTGGCTCCTGGTGGGCGGTGGCCCCCCCGCCTCCTGCCCCTCGAACTCGCGCTCGTTCTTGAGCCACGGCTCCACGAGGCACACGGGCGCCCTCTCCTCGAAGCCGTCGCCCCACTCCGACCGCAGGTACGGCTGAGGAGGAGGAGGAGGAGGAGGAGGAGGAGGAAGAGGAGGCGGAGGAGGCGGAGGAAGCGGATGAGGAGGAAGAGGAGGAGGAGGAGAGGAGGAGGAGGAGGAGGGGAATAAGGAGACGGGAAACGTTATGTTTTCGGGGCGGCTCGAGGGGAGACACATCGAGCTCGAATCGGCGATACACCGTGGATAGATGGGCAATGGGCCCCCGACAGCGACTCCGCACGTCCCTGGGCGGCGTAGGCCATCGGGCAACCGTTGGCGATGAGTGGGCAATTGGGGAGGGGGGAGGAGGACGGGGAGAAGGGAGGAGGAGGGGGAGGAGGAGGGGGGGAGGAGGAGGGGGAGGAGGGAGGGAGGGGAGGAGGGAGGAGGGGAGAAGGAGGAGGAGGAGGAGAGGAGGAGGAGGAGAGGAGGAGTAGGGAGGAGGAGGAGGAGGGGGAGGAGGAGGAGGACGAGGAGAAGGAGGAGGAGGAGGAGGAGGAGGAGGAGGAGGAGGAGGAGGAGGAGGAAGGAGTAGGAGTGGGAGGAGGGAGGGGGGGAGGGGGGAGAAAGGAGGAGAGAGCAGGGAGGAGGGATGAGAGAGCAGGGAGGAGGGATCAGGAGGAGGAGGATGAGGATGAGGAGGACGAGGAGGCCGAGGCACCCCCCCCACGAGCCTGTTCATTCGAGGCTCCCGAACAGAGGGAGGACCAAAAGGTGTCCGACGACATTTGCTGGTTAGCTGTAAATTCGTGCGCTCTCAGTTCGACATCCAGGGACCGCTCTCGGGGGACAGGTTCGTCGCAACAAAAAATGAAGAGGAAAGAAAACTATGCACATATACCGATTCTGGCCAGGCCCATCCTGAGCCCAGGACAAATGCTTACGCCCTCCTGCCTTTGGCAGGAAGACGCATACACCGATCCTGGGCCCAGGATGGGCCTGGCCAGGATCGGTGCATGTGCAAAGCTCTTGTAGCGAGAGCGAGTGGAAGCGAGAAGGGGCGGGCCTTTAGAGAAGGCACGGAAGCCCAAGGACCTTCCGGCAAATTGTTCAAAAGCCTTCCCAGGAGGAGGAGGAGGAGGAGGAGGAGGAGGAGGAGGAGGAGGAGGAGGAGGAGGCCCCACCGCTTGCCGAGAAGACCTCGCTCCTTCTTCTTACACTTCTCCCACCCTCGCCCGCCGCCGAGAAAACAAGCAACGCCCAGGACGAACTGCTGCGAGCCAGCGAGCTGAAACAGTCGAGTCACGACGTCGGAGTTCCGGGGAGGGGGACGTTGAAGGAGAGCTTGTTTGCATTCGCGGCAATAACGAGCCGTATAGGGGGGGGGGGCGGGACGGGGCATAACGTAGCGCCCCCCCGCCCCCCCGACTGGTGCCAGACGCACTGCGGCAGTGCCAGGGACTCACTGAGGGGGGGGAGCGTTACGTTATGGCGGGGGGGAAGGGGGGGGAGGGTAGGAGGCATAACACGCGACATGGCACAGAGCACAACAAAAACACTCTTCGGGGATCTACCGGCCCAGGTCAATCCAGACCCGGGGTCAGTGTCAGGCTCTGCAGGATCCTGCAACTTCTGGCGCTCTGGCTGACCCCGGTTTGCTCTGACCCCCGTCTCTGGAGTCCCGAACTCTCGAGCTTTTGGCCTCCCCGGGGCGCCCCGAAGAGGGCCCCCGGCGGAGCAGGTTGGACCAGCGGAGGCCTGGGCCTGGAGCTCCTGGCTCCAATCTGCCCTCGACCCTCGAGTCGTGACGGAGAGGCGGCGCTCGGCGGAGGCACGGGAGCAGGACGCGGCTCCTCCTCCTCCTCCTCCGCCTCCTCCTCCTCCTCCGGCTCCTCCTCCTCCTCCTCCGCCTCCTCCTCCTCCTCCTCCGCACTCCTCCTCCTCTCCTCCTCCTCCTCCGCCTCCTCCGCCTCCCCCTCCTCTCCTCCTCCTCCTCCCTCCTCCTCCTCCTCCTCCTCCTCCTCCTCCTCCTCTCCTCCTCCTGCTGCCTCCTCCTCATCCTCCTCCTCCTCCTCCTCCTCCTCCTCTCCTACTCCTCCTCCTCCTCCTCCTCCTCCTTCTACTCCTCCTCCTCCTCCTCCTCTCCTCATCCTCCTCCTCCTCCTCCTCCTCCTCGTCCTCCTCTGGGGAAGAGGAAGAGGAGGGATAGCGGGAGTAGGGTGGGGGAGGGCGAGGAGGGAGGGGGAGGAGTGGAGAGACGAAGGGAGGAAGGGAGGGGGAGGAGGGAAGGGAAGAAGGGGGAACCCTGACTTTTCTCGCGCCGTGCGGGCAGCGTTCTCTGGGGGCCCGGGGCCATGCGAAGACGACTCAGGATGAGAAGCTGGTCTTGGGGAATGGGTCCAGACCTCTTGGGGAACCACGATGGAACGGGGTTTGGCAGGGGTGTTTTTTTGGTAAGGGTGGACGTGGTGCACAATCACGAGGGCGCCAGGGTTTGACCCATACCTGTCTACAGCGGGAGGCCCAGTAGGAGGGGGACAACAAAAGTAGAAGGAAGGGAGGAGGGATGGAGATAGGGAGGGGGAAGCGGGGAAGGACGAGGAGGGACGAGGGAGGGGGAAGTGGGAGGAGGAGGGAAAGTGGGAGGGGGAAGTGGGAGGAGGAGGGAGAGAGAGGGGGAAGGGGGAGGGATGGAGATAGGGAGGGGGAAGGACGAGGAGGAGGGAGATAGAGGGAGAGAGGACGAGGAAGACGAGGCGATCGAGCGAGCCCGCACCGTCGGCCCGACGGACTGGCCCTCTGGCGGAGCAGGGGCCCAGAGAGGACGAGGGAGGAAGCGGGAGGAGGAAGGACGGGGGAGGGGGGACGCGAAGGGAGGGATGAGGAAGGAGAGAGGAAGGGGGCGAGAGGAAGGAGGGGCAGGGCTAGAAGATGGGTGGGAAAAGATGGGGCCCTGGGAGGGATGAGGGCGGAGGAGCCGGAGACGAGCAGGATGCGGGGAGGAGGAGGACGGCGAAGGATGGAGGGAGGAGCGAGGCAGGCGGGAGCACGGGGAACACGAGCAGGACGCCGGACCAGGCCGCCGAAGACGAGGTACGCCGGCGGCTGCGGCGGGTGCATGGGCACGAGGGGGTGGGGCCACGCGAGCTCCAGCTCGCAGGAGAAGGCCCGGCCGCCGCGCAGCACCTCCAGGGGCACGGCGTCGCCCGGGAAGCGGCCGGCTCGGGGGTCGCTGTGAAAAGGTGCCCCTGGCCCGGGGCGCCCCCGGCTTGCCGCTCTCGATGCTGCCGGAGCTCCTGCGGCCTCCTGGGCCTCGAGAGGGGAGCTCCTGGAGGAGGAGGAGGGAGGAGGAGGAGGAGGAGGAGGAGGAGGAGGAGGAGGAGGAGGGAGGAGGAGAGGAGGGAGGAGGGAGGAGGAGGAGGAGGGGAGGAGGAGGAGGAGGAGGAGGAGGAGGAGGGAGGAGGAGGAGGAGGAGGAGGCCCCCGCGGAAATCCTGGGGGCCCCCTTGGCCCACGCAGGGGCGCCTCCAGCAGCACCCGACCTGGAGGCCACGTAGGAGAACGCGATGCGCTCGCGGCCCCGGAACGGCACCGTGCCGCCGCTGCCGATGGGCAGCCCCCCGATGGACAGCAGCACGTCGCGCCGCTCGAGCAGGCGGGCGGCGGGCGCCGTGGGCTCCACGCGCTTCACCTGCGAGGGGCGGCACCCGCAGAGCGCCGCCACCCACCGGGGGGGCCCGGAACGGCCCCCCGCCCAGGCGTGGTCTCGAAGATGCTCGCCGCTCGCGTCGTGAAACGAACGAACGCGACGTGTGCGGGCCAGGTCCGCGTGGGGGCGGTGGATGTGAGCATACGAACGGAAACGTTTGGCGGAGGCTTGTTTGGAAAACGTCCCTGGACGCATCGGAGCCGCCCCCCCTCTCCTAAAACATATGAAGCCGCCCGGAACACCGCGGAGGTTGTGGGGGCCTGACACGGCCTCTCTGACCAGAGGGGGCTGAATATAAGCATAGCCAACGATCAACATGTAATCGGATCATCGTACAGCTGGATATAACTTTAATATCTGGAAGGTGAATCCTGACCAGGCTCGGTCCAACTCGAATGTAATTCTACTACACAACGATCCAGCTGTAAGAGTATCCTGGCCAAGCCCGACCCCACTCGAATGCAATCCTACTATATGTCTGGACGTAGCTCGACTTGATAACTCCTGAGGCTCGGTCCATCTCATACTCCAGATCTCGTAATAAAAGGGAGGGGGTCTGGACCCTCCAAGACAAGCCATTTCAGACCCCCCCCCCGTGGGAGAACCCTCCGAAACATCGTCCCCAGACCCCCCCAGGCCCTCCAAGATGGCCTGGAAGAGACCCCCTCCGAAATGAGACCCCCTCCCTTTATTACGAAATCTGGAGTACACAATCTCAGCACAGCAACATCCGGCTCTCACCGAAACCCACGGGGGCTCGGCCCAGCCTTCCTAGCATCGTGCTAGAGAGCTCAACCGTCAACCGTCGTTGCCCGACGGCGCTGGCGCCCGCGCTCGCCGGCGTCGGCTGCCACTGGGGCAGGAGGGCCCCCGCCGACCCCCCCCCCGCCCCTTCAAAGGGTCGAAGGGGGGGAAGGGGGGGGGGGGCAAATCAAACCCTCCCCTCACAAAAATCCACAGAACACGCCCTGTCGGACACATGTGGGCCCCAGGGGCCCGATCATATCCTTATCCAACCTCTCCCGGGCCTAAGGGAAGATCGGTTAATCAATCGGTGGATGTGGACACATCCCAGCCTCGTGCTTACGTTGGGGGTCCTCGTCGCCAGGATGCCGCCCGACGAGGCGCCCAAGAGGCCCCGCAGCGCGCGGTTCTCCAGCGGCTGCACCGCGAAGCCGTGGTGGCCGAAGCCGCCGTAGCGGCCGAGGCGCCGGAACCCAGCCACGAAGTGGGCCAGCACCTCTGTAGAGTCTGGAGGAAGCACGGAACAACTGCATAGACAAAATGTTATTGGAGGTCCGCGCGGATGTCCTGGATCGGCGCTGTAACCCCCTCCCTGGCGCGAGGAGCGCAGGAAGGGGGCCCAACGCCGATCCAGGAAATCCGCGCGGGTCTCCGAGAAATTGAGCGTATGCCGTGTTTAGTTCCTCGACTCTCTCGAAGTTCTTCCGCAACCAGACATGATAATTAGCGTCGTGAACAGAATCACGACGGGACGTGTTTTGGTCAAAATTGGGGCAATCAAAACCTAGGCTAATCATTTTAGAATTTCAGCGGCGAGCATCGCGTCGACAAGAACGCCCATGACTGGATAATGCGCGCCCCAACGTCATCAATTCACAGAGACAACGACAATTGGAACGTGACCATACCATCGTTTTGAAAGAACACGTGGCCGACCATTCACGATGAGGACACGTCGGGCCCCGCGCTTGCACTGGCCCGAGAGTCGCCGCCCCGTACCAGCGAACGATAACTTCACAAACACACCAAGAATACAAACCGGCCGTCCTGAAGGACGAGCCCTCCGGATGACCCCAGAAGAACAGAAGGTTCGGGAACCAGCCCGAACCCTCGAGCCCCCACCACCGCGCGAATCACGTGACCTATCGCGCACAAGCAAGTGCCGACCCGAGCGGAGAACGCACGCGCACAGGTCGCGTCCAAAGGGTCTGATTTCACGCGCACTTGGCCAGCCGAATACACCGTCAGAAATACAGCTCTGCCCGAAACAAAAGGGACGGGGCAAACGCGGGAATCGAGCCGACAAGCCCACTGGCCGTCGTCGTATGCGCAAGCTCAGGACGGTAAGTTGTTGACTGGGTTTGGTCCTCTGACATTCGCAGAAGACATCGCTGCACCGCCACCGTGCCTGGCCAGAACCCTAAGCTAGGAGGCCAACGCGCAAATCGCTGCGGCCCAGGATGGACGTGCCCAAGCACGGCGATAATGTAGTCACAGATGCCTTTGGGGGAGTTCCACCCGCGGTCCCGGTGGAACGGTCCGCATGGGGCCGGCCCATCAATCTCGGCACACCTCTCACACAAATCGGGCTCCGCTAGGAACTGCACCTGCGGCCCTAGCAGGAAGGTCCACGTGGCCCCCTCCCTGGCCCATGTCCGCACGCCTGTTTGCACTTTTTTTACGATGCGAACAGGGCGCCCCGCGGCTGAAGAGAGAGGAGGAGGAGGAGGAGGAGGGGGGAGGAGGTGCACCGAATTACGAAATAACTAGTCTGGCGGCCCCGGCCGAGCCCGCAGCCGCGCCTCCAAGGCGGCCCGCCAAGCCTCCGAGCCACCGCCGGCACGCACCGCCGGCGTCAGCAGCAGCATCGCCGCCCGCGGGGGCAGCGCCAGCGCCCACCCCGGGCAGGGCCTCGCCGACAGCTGCGCCCACCGCGCCGCCGAAGCGCCGCAACGCAGGCACGCCACCCAGCCCGGGCCCTGCGCAGCTGCGTGCACCCTCCATGCGGCGCCTGCGAAGAGGGCGCGCGCTGCCTCGGCCGGCGCAGGAGGCGCGACGACCCCGCCGGCCTCAATCGCTGCCCGGGTCCGCCGGCGCGGCGGCGGAGGGGGAGCCGGCGCCGCCTGCGCCGCGGGCGGCGGCTGAGCCCTCCTGGCGGCGCGGGGCCCTCGCGCGGCCGTCCAGCGGCGGCGCACGCGCGGGCCCTCGGGCCCGCGGCTCTCGTGGTTGGCTCGCAAGGCCGCCAGCTCGACCGCGGCGAGCACGCGCTGCGCCGCGGCCAGCGCCGTCAGCTGGAAGTCGCGTTCCAAGCAGAGCGCGGGCGGGGGGAGGCGGACCCTGGCCGCTTCTCCCGCCAGGCGGTCGGCGGCCGCATTGCCCGCCCTGTCCTCAGCGGACAGCCCCCGGGCGAGCGCTTCCTCGGCAGTCGTGTGGCCCTTGACCCAGCGCGCCGTGAGGAAGCCGCTCCGGCTGTGCTCCGCGACTCGCTCCCAAAGGTCGGAGTGCGTCCAGTCGAGGTAGCACGCGCCGGCGCGCAGGGCGGCAACGCCATTGCGGACGTAGCGGGAGTCCGTGATGACCTCTACGGGCGCCCCCGCAAGGCTGACAGCTTGGACCGCGGCGGTCAGCTCAGCCCGCTGCGCGGTCTGCGCCGCGTCCACCGGCCCGCTGTGGTCGCTCGCGCCGCGGGGTCCTTCCAGGCGCAGCCCCCAGCCGCCCGGGCCATCAGCGGGTCCTGTGGCCGCTCGCACGCCCCGTCAGTCCAAGCCCTCCTGCGCGACTGGGGCGGCGCGGGCATCTGGGCCGCCGGGGGCGGGGCTAGCGGCAGAGCCCGCGTGGCCTCCTCGGCGAGGGCGGCGAGCCGGACATCCGTCGCCAGCACGCCCGTGTTCGCCACGCCCGGCGGCAGCCGCGCGCGCAGCGCGGCCTGCGAGATCCGCGCCGTCGCCAGGGCGGCGGCCCTGTCGGCGCCCCAGGCTGGGCAGACCCAGAAGCGGTGCTCGCGATCCTCGCAGGCGGCGCCGCAGTGCGGGCATCTGGCCGGCTTGCCCCACTTCGCCGCCACCGATTCTGTCACGACGTTCCCAGACAGCACTGCGCGCAAGGCCCCTGCCGCGTCCGGCGCGAGGGCCCCAGTCTCCAGCAGCCGCCTGGTTGCCCAGCGGTCCACCCCGCGCGCGACATGCGCGAAGTCAGCCCTTCTGCCTGCCACGGCAGCCGCTTCCCTGCGCGCCCATGCCTCGAGGAGCACGGCGCGCGTGGCCTGGAGCGGCTGGTCGGCCGGGCGCCACCCGTCTGGGCAAGCAGGGACGCCGGTCCAGCGCTCGACGTCGTCGCCGAGGCGGAGCTGCGCCAAGCTCCAAGCGGCCGCGGCGACAGGGCCGGCGCCGCGGCCGTGCCCGGCCGCGCGGGCTCCGTCCGTGGCCCGCCAGAGTGCCAAAGGAAAGCGCCCTCTGCGGAGCGCCTTCGACGCCTGCCACAACGGCGCGAGGGCGACGACTGCCCTGCGCTTAACCGAGATGGAAAGATTCCTTCGTGCGGTATGGCGTTCTTCGGGCGCGCTGCGCCCCTCGTCTGGCACGAGAAGAATGACGAAAACATAAAACATGTTGGAATTGAAACAGAACCACGAAACAAGAGGATGTTTATTTGACACAAAAACGCGACACCTCTGAAAAACGATGCTTGTGACGAATTTGAAACTGAAAAGCGATGCTTCTGAAAAACGATGCCCGCGAGAACCATGCCTCGGAGAAAACAATTGAGATCGCGGCGTCGGATGTCCCGGGCAGAAATGGATGGGAAAGAAGGGAGGAGAAGCAGGAGGAAGAGGACGAGGATGAGGAGAAGAGTGGCGGAAGAGAAGAATAACAAGAGGGGCCCGGAGTGCAGTGGCAGTAGAATTTAAAGAATGGGGGCAGTGTCGCGTTGACGTAGTGACAGCACACGAAGCAGCACATGAAGCAGCACCAACAGTCGCAAACACATCTTATGTATGTTATGTATGTTATTCTTATGTCCAGTATCAATTGGACATATGGGTGCACACCAGTGCTAAGTTGCCAGATCAGTAGAAGCGGCGTATCAGCCGTTGTAATAGTTGCAGTAGAGAGTGGTTGTACTGGTTGAACATGGTGGGCACGCTGAGAATGGTTTTTGGCAGTCCTGGGGCCCCGAGGATAAAAGATTTTGCATGTCCAGAAAACGATGTTTGGAAACGATGGGGAAACGGTTTTGACATGTGCTGGGGTGTAGTAAGCGTCGTCGTTCGATCGCTTGGCCAAGCGATAGCGAAGGCGCAACCCATGCGGGAAGGCAACGAATTGCCGTTAGGGAGGAAACCTCCTCCTCCCTGTCCTCCCCCCTCTCCTACGCGATGGCCTTGAGATCCTGTTTTGTAATTGCAGCATGTTTTAATTAAAACCACTGGCTATCCGCTGCACGTCTGAAACGATGTCCTCATACAAAATATAATTTTCTCATAACGGAATTCCACGTCGCTAAGCCTTCAGAAACGAAAATATCGATCTCAAACCCAACGTTCGTAGGCGGTCCGGGGAGCTTGGCACGCAACGACTGGCAGTAGGAGTAGGAGAAGTAGTAGCAGTAGAAGAAGGATAATTAGAAAAGGAATAAGAAAAAGGAGAAAGTAATCGTATTAGAGATAGTAGTATTAGTAGTATTAGTAGTAGTATTATTATTAGTAGTAGTAGTAGTAGTAGTTGTAATAATAGTAGTAGTAGTAGTAGTAGGTAATAGTAGTAGTAGACGTACACGTAGTCGTAGTCGTAGGCGTAGTAGTAGTAGTAGTAGTAGTAGTAGTACAGTACTAATACTAGTACTAAGTAGTAGTAGCAGTAGCAGTAGTAGCAGTAGCAGTAGCAGTAGCAGTAGCAGTAATAGTAGTAGTAGTAGTAGTAGTAGTAGTAGTAGTAGTCGTAGTCGTAGTGGTAGTGGTAGTAGTGGTAGTAGAAAAGAAAGTAGTAGTAGTAGTAGTAGTAGTCGTAGTAGTAGTAGTAGTAGTAGTAGTAGTAGTAGTAGTACTAGTACTAGTACTAGTACTACTACTAGTACTAGTACTAGAACTAGAGCTAGTACCAATGTAGTACTAGTACCAATAGTAGTCGTAGTAGTTGTAGAATTAGTAGTAATAGTAGTAGTACGAGTAGTAGTAGAGTAGTAGTAGTAGTAGTAGTAGTAGTAGTCGTAGTAGTAGCAGTAGTAGTAGTAGTAGTAGTAGTAGTAATACCTATTACTAGTAGTAGGAGTAGTAGCATGAGTAGTAGTAGTAGTAGTACTCGCAGTAGTAGTAGTAGTAGCAGTAGCAGTAGCAGTGGCAATAGCAGCAGTAGTAGTAGCGATGGTAAAGTCGAAGTAGAACGAGTAGTAGTAGTGGTAGTAGTAGCAGTCGTAACCGTAGTAATACTAGTCGTATTGATAACAACAGTAGCAGTAGCAGTAGCGGTAGCAGCAAAAGGAGTAGTAGCAGTGGTGGTGGTG